TCCACATTATTAATTTCAAAACAGGAGAAATTGAAAACTTCTTAGGTGTAACTGATAAAACCTAACTCAAGAAGAGTTAGAAAATCTGAATAGTGTTAGAATTGTTTAGAAAATTGTATAAGTAGTTAAATATATTTTAGCAATAGCTAAAAAAAAGCACCAGATTTTATAGATGATGTATCTGAAACAATCCAGGAATTGATATTCTCAAGATGATACAAACTCCTTCAGGAAATACTGCCCCACCAATTCTATAAGCTAGGAATATTTTGTCATTAAAACCAAACTACAACATTATGAAAAGTAAAATTATAAGTGAATTTCCTTATGAACAGAGATAAACTTATGTTCCTTCAAAGGGTAAGAAGTACTGAGTTGAATTTAATTGAAAGGAAATAAAATATTTGCTAAGTGCAATAATATATAAGGGATTTTCCCTATCAAGGGATTTTCTTTTCAGTAAGCAGCAAAGAAAAACATTAAAATCAGAGGTCTCATAGAGTTTTGCATCCATAGAGAGCGTTGATCTTTGTAAGAGAGTAACTCATGGCCTCCATTCCATATAACAGCAGCCAAATACCCGACGTGGGTCCTCCTCTATGACAAACCCCATAGGGATTCACACATGCCAGTCTCAGTCCTAAGATGCCAACGTGGACAAAGAACCTTGATAATATCCTATCATTCTTTAAAGAATTCTGTGGTCAAAAAGGAGATGAGTACTTTCAAATATGACAAATGACTGGGAATGGAAATATGCTTATCCTTATCCTGCTGGGGTATTTTAATGAATGATGAAAACCCAAAGGACAAAGAGTTGACAGAAGAGAAATGAGAGTAGAGGGGGAAATGGATGGTCAATAGCAGGTAGTGCAGTCTTGGAAGAGGAGAATGGAGTACGGTAGCAAAAACAGGCATGTAGAAACAAATTGCTGTGAGTGGTGGTGTTTTTTGGTGGTACCAAAGAACTAAAGTCCAAGATAAAAACTAAATTCTAAGCAATATGAGAATAAGGATAGTTTCCACCATGTTCTCTACTCTTCAGTGCTAATCACCAGGCCTGTGATATTATAGACACTCCACAAAATTTGTTGAAGGAATAATTAATAAAATTTAAAAAGGCTATATATTAAGAGACTGTGTCAGTGGAGCATGGTGGCGCACGCCAATAATCCCAGTAACTTGGGAAGCTGAAGCAGGAGGACAACAAGTTCAAAGCCAGTGTCAGCAATTTAGCAAGGCCCTAAGCAATTTAGGGAGACTCTGTCTCAAAATAAAAAATAAAAAGGGGTGGGGATGTAGCTCTGTGGTTAAGCACCCCGAGTTCAATCCCTGGTATAAAAATAAAGGTGGGGGGGGAGGCTATGTCAGTATAGATGTAGATAAATAAAGAAATAACTGTGTGGCTATGTGGGTACATGGCTTATTTTTTAAATCTCTCCACTGAGAGGATGAAGAAACAAAAGATTGTAGTAGCAATGTGCATGCTCATTGCCCAGATCTGGATTTTTAATACCATCTTTCAATAAAAGGAATCAGGGCACCTTGGAAAAATGTCTGCTTTTAGAGCCACATCAGAAAATATACACCTTGCAATGCCAGAAAATAAAGTGGAAAAAAATACACACAGAGAGAACAAAGTAATGGTGGGATGCATAAAGAGGGCAACTGGAGCCAACTGAAAGAGCTCCCAGTGGTCAAAGCTGGAACAACTGAACAATAGAAATAAATAAATACTGGATTACATTTGAGATATAAACCAAAGGATAAAATATGTAACCCGTGAGTCCTTGCTGATATAAAAAACTGAATGAAATAAATGGAGAAGATAGAAAATTTCCCATACAAATTCTAAATGATTTCTGTAGATACTGCCCCCTAGAGGAGCCAGGAGCGTAACTCCCATACCTAGAGTGTGGGCTGACCATAGTGACCCTTAGGGGCTGGGAGGTCTTTGTAGAGGAGAAATGTGATAATCACTACCACTTCAGTCAGGTGGTGGCATGCATCATCAGTGACACTTTATATTGGTGGCAATTACCCTTGATATGATGTGATGAGAAAAACACTTTATATCTTTAGTCTTTCTAATTCCATAACCCCAGTCTAAGCATGAGAAGAAGAAGAAAAAATCAGACAAACTGATATTGAGGGGCATTACACAAGATATCTTGCCATCTCAGAATTGTCAAGGTTATCAAAAGCAAGCAAAGTTTGATAAACTGTCAATCTAGAGGATCCCAAGGAGACATCTAATTGTAATGTAGTATCTTGGATGGGTTCTTGGAACAAAAAAGGGACATGAGGTAGAAACTATTAGTTTTTTTAAAAAAGCATATCCATATTAGTCCATTGGTTTTGATATCCATGTGCCATAATAATTTAAAATGTAAGCAACAGGGGAAACTGGGTGAGGGATATATGGGAACTCTCTGTGTCATCTTTGCAACATTTCTGCAAATCTAAAAGCATTCTAAAATGAAGTTTATTTTTAAAATATAAGCTACTATTTATCAAGTGCCATAAGTTATTCTAAGCAGTTATATTTACTAACCACTTCAATCTTCACAACAAGCCTATGATGCAAACATGATTATCCCCATCTCATAAGGAAGCTAATGCAAAGAGGGGTTAAGGAATTGGTCCAGGTCATCACACAGCCAGCAAGAATGGAACAGGGAACTGAACCCATCAAAAATACTGTCACCTCCTTAGCACAGGATGCTCTGTCCAACTGTATCTCAGCTCTATGATTGGATTCCCTGCATTTTAACAGTGCTCTGCTGTGTTGAAAAAAAGAGTATGGGGCAAGTTAAACAGCTAATGTTATAAAAAGTTTTGAAAACTATGATAACCAAAAGCTTATTAGGGTTTTGAACTTCTACCAGAGTGAAGGAAGAGGGAGAAAAGATTATGGGTATAAATATGAGTAACTTAAGCTTTATAAAAACAATTTCAATAAAATGAGGAATTTACTTAGTGGGATAAATTGGCAAAAGTTATTACCCAACAGCATAGTAGGGGAAAATGGCCATGTTCTAAAGGATTAAGACAGCTGGCTCAGGTGAAGCACGTACTGTTATGCAAAAATAATCATAAAAGTTTTAAAATGTGGATGCTTGGCAAATTTGGGGATCTGACTGTGAATAAAAATAGAAGCCTAATATCATAGCCAGCCTAAGAGAATAGAATTATGGTCCATAAGGAGGACACTGCCACTCACAAGAGGGAAAAAAAGGGAAAAAAAAACATGACAATCAAAGCATAACAAAGAATGAAGTTTTGTTTTGTTTAATATCATAGAGAGTTGAAATATAAGAAAGAGTCAATGAAGCTGTTATTTGGGTAGGCAAAGTTAGAAACAGTTGGCCCCCACAAAGGAAATGGAGGAAGGCCTGAATAGATTCATTCAGAAATAGAATGAGACATAGAAAGCGGCCTAAAAATCACCTTTAGAAGCAACATGGGTCCTGCTGATTGGCTGGCACATTGGCTGAAATTATTTTCCAATGAGTCTTCTCTAATAATCTTCCTTTGCTTTCCAATGTCTGACTCCACATGTTTTCTTTTTCCTTATACTCTTTCCCTACATTTATTTTTATCAACCAAAAGGTAGAACCTTTGTTGTAGGTTTTCTGAGAAAGTTGTATTCAGAAGAGGACAGAAATGTAGGATAGGGCCATTTCCTTAAGATTGCATAATCCTCCCTCCAATTTTTAAATTGATTTCCTCACAGAACATAGATTTCAATAAGATAGTTTCCTACCTAATATATTCTTACTAGAAATAGTCTTTACATTTCAATGAAACTCCTCTTAAACTTCGTAAGAACTTACAAGATACCAGTGTTGTGAATATTTCTTTACACTTTCCACAGAAGCCAATGCCTACTGATATCTAAAATAAAAGCAAAAAAATTTTTAAATAAGAAAAGGTATACAATAAAAACTGTCTTAGATAATAAATATAATTTTTCAAGAAAATTCCTGCATATAAAACAATTTGAATGTAATTTTTTTAAAAAGAAAATCTACTCTTAACGAGTAATTTGTTCCCAGAACAGTAAGAAAAATACCTACTTAGGACCTGCATTTAAGTGAACACAGCTGCCACTTTTCAAAGACTTTGAAGTACACTTCTTCTACCTAAATCCAGCAAGTATTTTTCTCACCCCACATTTCAGTAGCATTCAGGATTCCTGGCCAATCCTTCATCCTAGAAAGGCCCTCATCCTTTCTTTTGGCTTCAGTGACACAACTCGTTTGGCCACATAATCCCTCACAGGTCCACCTTCTTCATAGCCACACTCTCTTAAACACTCAGCCCCAGGCCCTGCTCCCCTGCTTGCTCAGTGGTCTCCAGACAAACTCATCCATACTCATTATTGCTACATACGGTGACTGCATATGATTCACTCATGTCTACTCTGCTCTTAGTGCCAGTCCCACACATCCAATTGTCTACTTGACATGGATTGATTTCTCAAGGATATACACCCTAAACCTCTCTAAAACCAAAGCCTCACCTGCCCACCCTCAGAACCTTCTTCTAGTACTCCCATCCCTAAAATGATAGCACCAATGAACCATGAAAAAACTGTATTTAATCAGGTAAACTTATTTTCTTACAGGGAGATGAATGTGATATAAAATACCATATTTGGAGGGCAGAAGAAACCTAAGAAAGAACATCTGAAAGTTGTTGGATAGACAAATGAGTTTTCCATAGAGGATATATAATATTCCTTCATTTCCTAATGTCTGACTCCAAGTGTTTTCTATTTTCTCATATCATTTCCTTATATTCATAAGAGGATATAACACAATTCTATCCCACTGAATAATACTCCTTCTCATAAATGGAACACTACAGTAGCCTATGCATAACCTTGACTGGGGTCCCTTCAAACTAGAATGTTTCATAAAGATTGGAAACCAGTAAAAGCAAAATTAACTCATAGAAATACGAATTGACATACATGACAAAATAGAGAAAGGTAATTATGCACAGTTGCATTTAATATTTGTGAAGTTGTTGTCAGAGACATTTCTCCAGAAGTCATTTGGACACCCTGCATTTTTTAGAATGTTGAGGGTCAGCCTGGGTAAGAGGAATAGAGAAGTTGAAAAGCCATCACATACAGTGCTATCAGTTCCTTGAAGCTCTATGATCAATCATCTTTCCTTTCCAAAGGATTGCTCCATAGTCTAGCACAATGTGAACTGGTATAGTCTGTTAAGCAGAAATAGGTCACCTGAACCACAGATTGTGAACCTGAAACACAACAAGAAGAAAGTTTTATTTAACACAGCAAAAATTTATAAGTAACAGACATCTGATAAAACATTAAGAAATCAAACATTTAGCTAAGCACTTACAGAAATGACTTACCATGAGTTATGGATTTTGAAATGGTCCCCAAAGGATTAAGGGCAAATCCCTTTACTGAATATATTTAAAATTAGATTCAAAGAAAAACTTGAGTGAGAGAACACTAGAGTGAAAAATCCCACACTAACAAATATGAAACAGATGCATTTTAACTTTGTCTATTTTTAATATGTACAACAGTTATTTTTCTGATTCATTAAAAAATAGATATGGTATTCTAAACACTCTTGCCATAAATAACATAAAAATTAAATCAAAAACCCTTACCAATGGTGTTAGAGATTTATATAAAACGAAATTTAAGTATAAAACTGTAAACTCCAAACATTGCTTTTATCACAGACATACAGAGTTCTTAGGGAAGTTCTTTAGAAAATGATCTATTCCCAAGCTCCCCACAACTCACTTGGGATTGTGAACTTCAAGCACTGCAGCTGATTTTAATTGCCATGATGATGCATAGGCAGAGACGTGATATCTGGAGTAACTGGCTTCTAAACAATGAGGGGCTTTAAAGATTAAAGTCAACACTTTAAATTGCACTCAAGACTGAATAGGAAGCTATTGCTGACCATTGAATGTAGGTGTAATATTCTCCATATGTTCTGGGCCTTGTAACTGAAAGACATCTAGCCCTCTGCATCACACACAATATAGATCCAAAGGCACAGCATTATAGTATGGTGCAATACAACCAGCTCTATATATGTTAGAAACATAAATTTCAGAATGTAAACAAGATATACCTATAGTGAAAATTGTTCTTGGAAATAGGATGCAAACTGGAGAGATCAGTAGATCTCTATGAGGTCTTCTTAATCAAAAGCAAGCTGGTTGCTGCAGCTAAATGGACTTTGAATACCTGAAAGGCTAGTCCAGATGTGAATTGGTCCATAATTCCTGATGTTACCTGTTAACAGTGGAAATACAGGGTGCATCAATAGCTAGCTAGACCCTTTCATCTGTGAAAAGGCATGTAGTTGACTTCCATGTGAGTAAGAGTTAACTGAACACTGTGACTAAAAGTGTAAAACTTGAATACTCAGTATTCATAGCCCCCTACAGAAACAGTGCATCCCTAAAGTAGACAGTCCTTGAACTAAACATATTAAATGCAAAATCTTACTGGAAATACTAAATCAAACAAATCAGGGGTAACACTGCCAATGTGAAAGAAAATTCTCCAAATAGTATAGTTTTGTTTTAGTCACTGACATATGGGAAAATTTATGTAGTAAAGTATATGCTTATAAAGTTTCAACTTATATTTAGTGGGGGAAACAATTTATTATACCAAAAAAGCATAAATGTATGACAGATGGTAAAGCTTTTTTTCTGCTCTTGGCAAGGTCTCTTTTAGGCTGAATGACTTTTGCTTCTTAAAACTATGAACATTGTCATTCACACCTATTTTCTGAAATTAAACAGACCAATTCTATGATGAAATCCCCTATAAATTTGGTTACTATATAATGTCTTCCCACTTTTAAATCATAAATTATCTAGAGTACCACTTTCCCTAGAATATTGAAAAGACCAAAACTGGAAAAAAAATGGAATTCTGTAATGAAACCTTTATTTTAAATTCCTTAAATCAATTTTGGAAAAACTTCTAAATTTAAATTTATTCTGGTAGGATTTTATAAAGGAAACCATAAAAGAGTATACTAGAAGTACATTCTTCCATCCAAAAATCTTTATTTTGGGCTTTTGAAATGTTCGATTCCTTTAAGTTACTGGAAAATTTTGTATATATATATAACATATATGTATATAAACATATATGCATACACACAAAAAAAATGGATTTTTCAGTTCATCTACTGAGAAATTGGCAAAGATTTTCCTAAGTGTATATGACATAAGAAGGCTAGTTGTATTCCTTTAATATGCAATCCAGTTGTTTAAAGTGAGAAATCTATTTACTGGATAAAGAAGTGAAGGAAAGTACCGTATAAGCAGTTGGAAGACAAGACAAAGGGTGGGATTGGGATTGAATGGGTAATACTTGATGTAATTTCCCAAGGAGCAGGAATGGAGGACAGGGTAGAGAAGACTTCTGTGAGATCCAAGAGTTTCAGTTGTTACCCCAATATCTGGGTAGTTAGAGGAAGAGCAGTTACATCGGGAGGGAGATGTTTTTTAAAGGCCACACCTTTGCATAATTTTATTTATGTCCCATTGGCCAGAACTCAGTCACATGTTCACAGGTAATAATTAAAAAAGACTTAAAAATGCTTTCTAACTCTTACAGTAGGAAAAAGAAAAAAATAATGTTTTCTGAAAAGCAGGACAGGATATTTATTGCCACAATAAATATCACAAACACTTTATTGCTGCCAAAGTCAGGGTTGGATAGCTGTCACTTGTAAGAAATAGCTAGTGGCATTTTCTCTACATTTTAAAGTAACATTTAATTTCATTCTTGTGTCCTTATTTCATTTTTTTCTCCTTTGTTTCTCTTTCTTATCTGCAAACTATTTTATTAATCATCTGCTACTGATTTGGCTTGACTGATTGCACAGAGTGAGTTTTATTTTGAAGTGTGCATTCACATTCAAGAAGAAAGAAAATTAGTAACGTAGCATGACATACATAAACATCTAGTTATACTTTTTATAAAACACATTTTAAATGCCCACAATTTTTTTAGTGGCTTTCTAATAAAAACCCAGGCCTTTTTTCCCCCAAGCAGTTTAATGAGAAGAATTATCAAAGTTTAGAATGATGGAATTGATAATTCTCAGGGTTTTGGTACAAGATTCACCTTTATTTTAATCCATAATTCAAAACAATCACCTTAAAATGCTAAGAAAATGTTAGTGTAGAACAAAATTCTGAAGAAAACACTATGAATATTAATCAGTAGCAGCTTCAGTGTTTGCTATGAACAAAGCAAAATCCTTTTCTGGAAGGTAACTCTGGAATCACTAGGCCTCAGTCATTTTATTCTTATGGTAAGAAGAGAGGGTTTATGGGTGTGAGCTATGGCCAGGCTGTATGGATTTATTCCCTCCAAAAAGATAAACTATACATCTTGCAACAAGAAAGGAAAACTTTATTTTTTTGGTAAATTGTGTGTGTGCGTGTGTGTGTGTGTGTGTGTGTGTGTGTGTGTGTGTGTGTGAGAGAGAGAGAGAGAGAGAGAGAGAGAGAGAGAGAGAGAGACTATTTCTGGAAATTGTCCTTTTCTTCAGAATCCATATGAAAAAAATTTAGTAGGAGGGAAAAGTCTCCCTTCATTGGTTCAAATTATGAACAATAAATTAAAAGATGAACTATATCCTTAAGACTGCCCATCAAATGAAATATTATTATAGTGACTGGATATCAATATTGTGTTATCCAGCTTTCCATCGCTATGACAAAATATAAAGAGGAAAGGTCTATTTGGCTCATGGTGTCAAAAGTTTCAGTCCTTGGCCACTTGACCCCATTCTATCTGGGGCTGTGGTGAGGCAGTACATGATTGGGGGAGCACATAGCAGCAAAGCTGCTGACTTCATGGCAACTTTAAAGCAAAAAAAAAAAAATGAAATAGCAAGGGGTCAGGTCCTACTATGCCCTGTCATAGTTTGTCCCCAGTAACCTAACTGCCTTTCACTAAGCCCCACCTCTTAAAATGTTCCATCAACTCCCAATAGAAGTGTTGACTAGGGAGTCCATACCTTCAACACATGGGGCTTTGTAGGACATTAAAGACCAAATTATAGCAACTACCTACCCTACCCACTGCAGCCCTCATAATTTCTTCATCAAAGAAAGCAATGAAAAGAGTCTGGACACCTTTCCTCTGTGGAAGGTCACTCACCTGTCAGGTTGCATTGAATAAAGTTGAGCAGTAGGTAATAAGCATCATCCCTGGCCCACTGCAATAGTAGAAGCATCTCACCTCTAAGCATAGGGTGGGACCAGAGGGAACAGCTAAGCACTGGTCAGCACTGCATTTTATATGGCCTAAAGAGATAGTAAAACAATTCTGAATTTTGATTGAGCGCTTCCTGAGGGTGTTCTCAAATTTATTGAGTTGAAAAAGAAAATTTAAGTACATTCAGTCTCAAAAACAGTGTATCTTCTATTTTGCCTGGCCTAAAACAGTGGTAGTAGAGAGATTAAGCACCCTGGATTTGGGATTCAGAAACTCCTGGATTCTAATTCTGGCACCATCAACCATCCTCTTTGGGACTGGGGATAATGTTGTGAAGAGGAAAAAAAAATTGCAAAAGTGAAAGAAATGTGAAAGTTGTCAGAATTAAAATGGAATCCCTTGTGCCAACCCTAAAAAAAAAGTATATAAAGCCAGAGAAAATAAAGAAGAAAGAATTCTTTCACATGATCGTTTGATAGTAACTATCACAAAAGACATCCAGAACTACAAGCTTGTACAGAGGCCACTACAACCTTACACAAAAAGTATTTCCACAAGGATATCTACTGAGCAATTATCTGTTCAAATGCAGTTTTGATGTCACTCTTGTTATTAATGATTGTGGTCAAAGATTGTTGTTTGAAAATATCTGATATAATTCTCATTTTTGCCTGTAAAAACTTCCTTTTCCTCTCTTCGGAAATAAGCATAGGTTACTCTGGTATACATATTCTCATTATGATGTTGTGCTAATTTCCATTGCAATGTTGCACATTCCCCAATAAATATGATTCCATGATTTTCTTTGGAGAATTTCTCTCACAGTTTTATTTAGATTGGGACCAGTTAGTGCTGGAGAATCATGAGTTGTGAGTACTATCATTATCATTATCACTCTGCGTAACCAGAATACTTCAGGTATCCATGAATGTTGGATGCAAAAAGGGGGAAAAAAAAAAAAAAAGAAAGCTTCTATTTCCAATGGAAGTTTCAAAGAACGAGAGCTGTTTAGGAAGAGAAACTGATATAGGAAAGTATTAATCCATCTACGACTAGATGAACCAAAGAAGAGCGATGGGATTTGTTTAGTGAGACCCTGGGAGGCAGAACTAAGATCTGAGCAGAGAGTGGCAGTCAGGGGAACATCAATTTGGCCTCATACAAAGAAGCATTTGGGGTTGAAGAATGGCAGGGGCTGCCTCCTGAGAGGTCAGTGCCACTTTCTGGGCACCGCAGGCCTTGAAGATATATTGGTGGAGGAGTCCTGGTAGGAATTTTAGAAATGATGAGTTTCCAGACACTGCCTCGGACCAGAGAGGGCTCCCAGAAGAAGCAGAAGGTCAAAGCCAGGAAAGCTTAAGTATCCTGTCCAGCCGAGTCCCGTCCTCCATGGCTGCAAAATCCTCAAATGCACCCTGGGGTCTTGGGAGACCGGCGGCGGTCAAACCGCAGCGCGCGCGGAAACTCTGTTGTCCTGGCGACGGAAGCGGTTAACCCGAGGACCCGGACAGGTTTGGGGGAGGGAACGGGGCGTGGCCTCGGTTACTAAGGCAGCGGGACGCTTAAGGGAGGGCCTGAGCCCAGTTTGGAGTCCAATGCTCCTCCAGGCCTCTGCATGGCACCCAAGAAAGACAAAGGGGGAACTGTGAACACCGTTTCTAAGCTGTGGGAACCCTTGCTCATAGCTGCACAGTTCAACCAGGTGAGCCCTGAGCGCTAATTGAAGTTCTCTCTGCCCCTAGCAAAGCCGGAAGCCCCGTCAGACCCCTCGCAGGCACTAACTTCGCCCTCCCCTCCAGACGCCACCGCTGCCCTCCCTAAGAAAACTGGGTCGTAGTCGGAACCCCTCTCTGGGGTCGTTTTCGCTCAGTCTAGAGGGGGCAGGGAATTCCCGCCAGGCCAGTCAGTGCGATTTCAAAGGGTGGTGACGGGTGCCTACTGGAGAGGAGAAGAGGCACCGATCTGACACCTCAGGACCCTTTTCAGTGGCATAGTCCAGAAGGCACTCCACAATTTCGCTGGAATTGCACTCACAAACTCCTCGCTTCCTCTTGACAGGAACGTTGTCAAAATTATCTCTGGTTTGGCCCATAGTAGGACTTTAATTAATGCTGAGTGAAAAAAAGACATGGAGTGCAGGAGAGAGCAATATATACATAAAGTGAACCTTCTTACAGATAGGAAAGGATAACTGCCTTATGTAATGCCCTGATAACGTTCTATCAAAGCCTTGATGTGTTTTTGAAAGTGTAAGAGACCAGAGCAACAAGGCTCTTCGTCCGTAGGTTGTCACAAACACACTGGGTAATATGCAACCCATCTGCCACATGACTTTGAGTTGCATGGGATCCCAGAACTGAATGGATCCCCTTACCCGCCTTTAGCCTGTGGGGAATCCAAGCTCTTGTCACTTGCCCCTGGAAAAAGCCTCTTAAACAACTATAGTATTTCTAAGTCCAAGTAAACATCTGGAAAGAGAAACATTTCTGGAAATTCCAGCTTACCATTGTGAACTACTTTTTTAAATGAAAAGAAAAAAAAAACATTTTTTTTCCATTTTATATGTGTTAACATGGTGCCTTAGAGAGTTTGTACTTTAAGGGAAAAAATGGATCAAAAGTCTTTTGTGTTGTTCTCATGAGAAAGTTTTTACCTATTTATCTTACCTATCTTATTTATCTTACCTTATTTTCCACTACGATTGTTTTTCTCTATGAACAGTAATTCTGTCTGCTCTGGAAATTAGTCCTGATGAAGAATTGCATAAAAGTAGTTATGATGCTATGATGCAGATGTGACATCATGGAATTTGGGGTCATTTCTATGACTTTAGGAATAAAAGATGTCAACTCAGTAATCCCCAGTTACATTCTCAAATTCTCAAAAAATGTTTTTGAAAGCACCCTCTCTTTTGCTTTTATAAGTCAGAACTAGCCAAAATAATTTTTCTCCATTTTCTTTGAGATTATGTAGGCCAAGTGGGGCTTGGAGTGAACATTTCTGCTTGAATTATAAACTGCTGAACAACGGAGTTTGATGGAGGTGCTGACACTGCATTAGCTTTAGAGTTGCAAATATGAAGCTATAATTTTCCTAGTTGAATGGAAAACCTAAAGGCACTATTTTTTTTTCTTATGGCTTGAAAACCTGAAATAATATTCAGTTTTCTTGATCCTCCTCAAACAATATAATTTCAATAAATCTTGTGTACTAACAGAAAGAATTTGAACTCAAAGTAATATGTAGTTTTAACTACAAAGAGTGAATTCACTTTTCTTCATTGGTTAATACATGTTTTGTAATTGCAAGAGGAAAACAATTGCCCTCTACCTCCTCCCATAATTTTTTGTCAGCTTGGTTTTGTGTCTGATTCATAAGGAAAATCCCCATATTAACCAACTGTCCAATGCTCTGTGTAAAAGACTCTGAATTTGGATTAAAGATGACTGTGGATGCATAAATTCTTTTTCCATAGTGTTTAGCAAAGTGCTCTGCACATAGTAAGGGCTCAAAATGTTACTGTTTTAGCTCCTAAAGAATTTCTTTCCTTATGGTTATTCCTGAACAGGTACATGTGGTTGAGTGCATGTGCTAGAGTGTGTGTTGTGAATATATGTGTGTACCTCCAGTCTTCATAAGCCAGGTTTTAGAATTACCTCATTGGTGAATTCAACAAGCTCAGCTGCACTAGGCTTTAAAGAGAATAAATAAGTTCACAATGTTGTTACAGTGAATTTACCTTATATCACTATTTGGACTTCCCTTTAAGGCTAGAATAATTGGGAAATTTTTAGTACATTTTAGTTATTTCTAAAACATAAAATGATAGCAAATAATTCAAGGCAGTCTACTAGTGAATATTAAGTGGTTAGATAGAGACTAGAGGTTGGGAAAATGAATATGAACTTGGATTATAAGGAAATACTTTGCAAAAAAACCCTTATCTTCAGCTGGGCCCTAAAATGCAGGTAGAATTTTAACAGATTTTAACAGGTAAAATAAAGAGGAACAATTATTTTAGGTAAAGAGACAAATATGTGCCTTAAACAAATTTTGCTGACATCACTCTGGTCTAAGATATTTTTAAGTCAATTCTGATTTATTTCTTCCAAACTTATCACATGGTAGATGATGCTGGGAGAAGAGCTTTGGTTCATGACCCAATGTAAGAAAAATTTCCAGAATTTTTTAAACAACATAGTCATTCCTTTTAGGAGCTTACAGATGGTACAAAGCCTGTCTTTAAACAATGTCACATGGCTTCAAAGTGACTGGGGCTCTATGTTTCAATTGGAATTTTGTGCTGTAATCAAAACTTCTGTGTCAATCCAAGGAAAAAAAAGAAACCCTAGTATCAGTATTGAGAATATCCACAGACAAGGAATAAATCTTTCTTCTTTTCCTTTCAGAAAGGATGTATTTTCTTTTTTTGTCACCAAATGTATCTTTCAGAATACCAGGATTCCCTGGAAGTTTGCTTGAATTGGTTTATGTATCCCACCAGTAGAGTTTGTTTTGGGCTTTTGTTAATTTTAATCATTTAATTATTTCATATTTTTAGATTACTGAGGATAGTATTTCTTTTTATTTGCTCCTAAATTTAAGAAATATATAGCAAAACCACAAACTTACTTGTGAGACTAACTACTGATGTGGTCATTATTCCATCCCCTTACTGTGACCCACCACAGAAAACATCAAAGGCACAGAAAAAAATTTGTGGCAACCCATACACAATACATACCTTAACCCAGGCGGACTCACTGTCCAATATTCATTGATTTCAGTTTGTAATGATGGTTTCAGGTCCCTGGTATCCAGCTTAAGTCACTAGATACCTTTATTGTCATTTGCCCAATGTTTATCAAGGTTTTATTCTTGATGAAGTCTTCAATAGAAATAGCTACATATTTTTAAGTATTTGAAAATATCTACTGCAATATATTGAAGTCTTTACTGTTAGATGGTTCTTGCACCCACTTCCACAGTTTTGTTCTCAATGTATGTTTTCCCCTTTATAACTAAGTAATAATATTTGCAAATGTAAATTTATAGAGACTGACAAACACAAAGTTCTATGATTTATAATGGCACTGTCCACACTAATACTCATTCAGAGAGGAAAACTCCTAGAGTTTTCTAGACTCATCTGACCCTTTCATGAAATTGAAAATTTAAGAGTTTCAAGATCTGGTGCAAAGACATATAATATTTTGGCACATCAGGTTTCAGAACCTAGATATTCTCACTAGTCCATACTTTCTCCTTAATAGAACTATAAGCTGTGATAATCATAGAATCTTATGTAGACTTTTCCATTTATAGTGAAATTTTACACATTTAATCTCTTATGTCATCCTCCACAACAACAGTGATATAGGTAGTGTTATTAGACTAGAATGTATTAATAAATGTTTATTGAATACCAATAAATAAATATAAAAAGAATACTTATTTTACCTGAAAATATCAAGCATTATTCTTAATAGATTCCTTTTCCTCTCACTTTTACATTCAGAAGGAAGAAAGGCTGTAACATTTGTAAATTCAACTCAGGCTTCTAAGGTCGTCTAAGCATGACAAACAAATATTTGAGTTTATAACTGATATCCTGTCTGTGAGATAGATAAATTCTTGATTAGGAAAAGTTATTTTCCTCTTTGCAAAAAGAAAATTGTAGAAAAACTATCCTGCTGCTACCTTGAAGTATGCCATAGTCTCTAGTTATACCGGCAAAAGTTTGGCTCATCAAAGTCTCAGGCTACCTCTGTCTCTCAACAATCCCACTTCCATCCATCGCACTATAATTCTTTTTTTTTTTCATTTTATTTTTTATTGATTTTTTAAAAAATAAATGACAGCAGAATATATTACAATTCTTATTACATGTATACAGCACAACTTTTCATATCTCTGGTTGTATATAAAGTATGTTGATGCCAATTCATGTCTTCATACATGTACTTTGGATAATGATGTCCATCACATTCCACCATCCTTGCTAATCCCCTGATCCTCCCTTTCCCTCCCACCCCTCTGCCCTATCTGGCACGGCAATTCTTACAGTCACTACAGCTCATTGATAACTCAATGAGCTTATTCTTTCCCATCATTTTGCCTCTAAGTCCTCTAACATTTTCTCACTCTAATTCTTCCTTTCTGATCTCATACCCCTTACTTCTACTCACCTTAAAATTACCTATTTCTGTTTGTCAAACCACTTCCATTTTCTTTTTTATAATATCAAACATTCAGATACCTCTTATTCTTTTTTTATTGGTTGTTCACAACATTACAAAGCTCTTGACATATCATATTTTATACATTAGATTCAAGTGGGTTATGAACTCCCATTTTTACCCCAAATATAGATTGCAGAATCACATCGGTTACACATCCACATTTTTACATAATGCCCTATTAGTAACTGTTGTATTCTGCTACCTTTCCTATCCTCTACTATCCTTGCTCCCCTCCCCTCCCATCTTCTCTTTCTACCCCATCTACTGTAATTCATTTCTCTCCTTGTTTATTTTCCCATTCCCCTCACAACCTCTTATATGTAATTTTGTATAACAATGAGGGTCTCCCTCCATTTCCATGCAATTCTTATTCAAAGTCAATGCTTTATGTATTTGTTTAGAGTCGCTATTTCTCTGTCATGAGTGTTGAAGAGGCATGTGCTGGGTAATGAAAGCCAAA